CCGTGACCCACATCGGGAATGGTGCCTTTGTGGGTTGCAGCTCTTTGAGATGGAGGATCTCAAATAGCTCCACCATGCCTGACCCAATATCCTGCAGCGTTAAAGATGCCTGTATATATCCCAGTTGGTTTGCGCCTTTGGACGGAGGAGAGGCTCTCAGGCCCGGACGGGGGGAGAGAGAGAGGGGGATGGCAGTGGAACGGTGGAGAAGTTTGTGTTTCGGAAAGGTGAAGGTGAAGATGAGATCATCATACCAGCACACCCTGGAGCTGGGATTTCTATTCATAGCTCCGAGAATCAGAGGTGATGAAAGGGGTGTCCGTTAACCACCCCGAGTGTGGGTTCCTGGTACAAGATGGTACAAGAACGTTTCAAGAATGGTTTGTACACCTTCTTACATCTTTGCCAGGTTCTTATTAGGACCACTACTGTACTATTCGGCTTGGTCGTTGAGATGACTTTGACTGGCATTTCCAAAGATCGGGGGTCGTCATGTTTGCTGGAAGCAAGGTGTGTTTCATACCCAGTGGCGGAGAGTGCAGTCGAAACCTTCAAAGATAGTAAGGTCCTAAGCAGTTATTTATGAAAAGGAACCAACCGATGTTGCGAATGGAAAGGCGTTTAAAGGGGGCGATCCTTTTGTGGAGCAGCCACTTCTTGGATAGTCGCATTGGAGACTAGGCATATCTAGGCATCACCCCAAATTTACCGGACTACTTTTAGCTCTAGCGATCTACCCATTGCATCCTATTTGAACATGAACACAGGGACCATGCTGGTCACCTCTTGCAATCAAAATCAACCAATGAGGGCTTTTTCACTTCTTCAGGATTCTCCCCACCAAAAATCAACATCAAAATTCCCACAAATTCTCCCCACCAAAAGGACAAAGGGCGACGTGTTCTGCATGGTCCCCACGTCTCACGTGGTGTCCTTGCCGCAGGCGCCACACGTGGTGTCCCCGCCCGCGTCGGCGGCGGCGGCGCGCCTGTGGCAGGGTTGCTCAGCGAAGCGACTGTCTCGTTTGTCTCGGCTGTTTATGAGGTGGTTGGTTTTCTTGGCTGACGTGAATAGGTCTAAGATCAGTTTGATCTAAAGTGTATATTCATGTGACCAGTTTTCGGTTTGTTGAACCATTTTTGGGAGCAAAGCTTTTGTTCTCCAAATGTTTCAACAACCGAAACATATTGGGATTTAGTCCGGAAATTCTAGAACATGAGACCGAGGTGCCCAAGCAAAGTCAATCAGGGTCACTTGGACCAATTCATGTTTGCTCACTTGTTTCAGCACTAGCTGTGATGCTCAAATACTGATAGATTGAACTACGTCAAGGTCTTTGAGCCATGGTGAAGAGAATTTCAGTACGGCAGCCGAGTGGTGAAATACTGGTTCTTGAAGTCACGCCTGAGACAACAGGCAAGGAGCTCAAGCAAAAGATCAAGGAGAGAAAGCGTTGGGACGAGCTCACTCGCAGCACTACAAGTGTAGAGATCATTGTCGGAAACAACCGCTTGCTTGCGAACAAAGTAAAGGTATTGGACGCTGGAATTTCTGAAGATACTGTTGTGAGTGTTGTCTTCAAACCAAACAAAGTGATATGCTCCAACAAATATGCAATCACCAGTCTTGGTGGCATTGTCCACCCAGAATTGTTGCTTGTGGTCGAATTTCCAGATGATGAGGCACAGATTTGTGACAGAGCCTTCAAAAATTGCCACACGCTGGCCAAAGTGATCATTCCGGACTCAGTGACGCAGATCCAGTATGCTGCCTTTGCTGGTTGCAGCTCTTTGGTGGACTTGACCGTCCCAAATTCTGTGACCCGCATTGGGGACAAGGCCTTTTATGATTGCAGCTCTTTAGCCAACTTGACCATCCCAAATTCTGTGACCCACATTGGGGGCAAGGCCTTTTATGATTGCAGCTCTTTGGCCAACTTGACCATCCCAAATTCCGTGACGCACATTGCAGAGGAAGCCTTTGCTCGTTGCAGCTCTTTGGTGAACTTGACCATCCCAAATTCTGTGACGCACATTGGGAAGAATGCCTTTTGTGGTTGCAGCTCTTTGGCAAACTTGACGATCCCGAACTCAGTGACGCACATTGGGAATGAAGCCTTTCGGGATTGCAGCTCTTTGGCAAACTTGGAGATCCCAAACTCGGTGACTCACATTGGACATTGTGCCTTTGAAGATTGCAGCTCTTTGGTTGACTTGACCATCCCGGACTCTGTGACCCACATTGGGGACGAGGCCTTTCACGGTTGCAGCTCTTTGGCAAACTTGACGATCCCGAACTCTGTGACGCACATCGGGGTTGGTATCTTTCTCGGTTGCAGCTCTTTGGCAAACTTGACGATCCCGAACTCTGTGACCCACATTGGGGATGGTGCCTTTCAGGGTTGCAGCTCTTTGTGTAACTTGACCATGCCGAACTCTGTGACGTACATCGAGGATTTTGCCTTTTGTGGTTGCAGCTCTTTGGCAAACTTGACAATCCCGAACTCAGTGACCCACATTGGGTTTGGCGCCTTTCGCTTTAGCTCTTTAGCCAACTTGACCATCCCAAATTCTGTGGCCCACATTGGGGGC